AGATCTCTTTAGATCGAACCAAAATTGATTCGATTCTTTGATTTTGGGTAATATTTTGTCTATATTCGTCCTATTCTGTTTGGTGTTTGATTTTTATTTTAGATCTGCTGATTTTTTCACTTCCCCTAAAATTAGGGTTTGAAATTTTTCCCTTTTCCTTACTGATTTTCGATTGCATGTGATATCCTTTCCTTTCTCGTGTTTGATTGATGATTTTCCTTGTTTGGGTGTTTAATTTCTACTACTATATAAACCCCTCTCCATTCCCCTTTTTGAACAGACCTTAATTGATATAATCTCACTAAAAACTTGAGGTTTTGTTCTGTGAATTCCTTATTATCTCGCTCTTTTTTTTGTGGTGGCCGGCTGAAAGCCAAGGCCACAGAGAATCTACTGTTCGAACTCTTCTGGACTCTTGTGGATCTTTTGTTTTTGTTTGTTGTTCGTTTAATTGGTAAGCTACTAGACTCTTGCAGTTTCATCCCTATGTGTTCTTGATTTGCGTATGTTCTCACCTCTGAAATTCTTGGCTTAATATGTTTTCTGGATTACTTTTGCAAGTGATTCTATTAATTCTACCTTGTTCTAAGTCTTTTAGCATCTGACTCCCCTTCTAATGCTACTAGTTTTGTGTTTACCCAAGCCCAATTTGGGTAATCTGAGTGCAAGGGTGTTTGGATGTCTCCCTAATCATGCTTGTTTGTTAGAATGTCTGTGTTAATTACGACATGTTCACTTGTTATTTTGTCACTCAGCATGCTCACTTGAACCCCATACCCCATTAGTAACTGATTGAGATCTTAACAGTTACCTCAACCTATTTTTCCCTGCCCTGCTTGAACCTTTTGTGACATGATTTAGATCTTCTCTAGTTGTTTAGTATATTATGACAATCCCAGAATACCCATATGTGATATGAGTTTGCTATCTTACATTGTTCTAAGTCCTTGAATTATTTGTTCTGCATATACAATGTGTTGCAATTTGTATTAAAACTATTTGCTATCGACTATGATCCTGCTTCTATACTAATATGTTTTCTAGTTTGTCCCTTGTTCATTTGATACCTTGTTTCTTCCAGTGTTTATCACAAAATATGTTCTCCACCATGCCCAAATACTGATTAGCATGGCCCTAGAATGCATGTTTAGCTTAATCTGAACCTCTTAAGTCTCAATTGGTTTAGTGTCATGACTGCTAATCCTGCAAACTTGTTTCTTTCCCCAACTCTTTAAATGTGTGGCTATCTATGTGGTGTTTTCCTATGTGTTGAAATCCTGCTGAATCTGCTGGCCCGTTTGATTAGTTGCTCTATATGGCTATGTCTGCTTTAGGTTATAAGTGTGTTCCCCACTTCTGTCCCTCAGCTATTGTCCATTCTCCCTCATTATCACTTATGTTATTCTGAAATCCTTATTCTTAGCCGGCTGAAAGCCAAGGCTATCAAGGCTCTTGCTACTGACCTCCCTAGTGTGAGCACTGCTCGGGGTCCATTTGAGGCCCTTGTGAACTCTAACACACTAGGATTTGGGTCTTTGATCATTCCCCCTGATACTGAAACCTGCACTATCCCTGAATCTCCTCTAATAAGCTCCCTAGTGTGAGCACTGCCCTGGGTTCTTGAAGCCCTTGCGAACTCTAACGCACTAGGGTCCAAGGTTCTTTGCCATTTTTTCCTCATTGCTCAACTTTGCCCCTTTCTACTTAATAAATAAGCCAATGGGCTTGTGTTCATGGATGTTTTCTTAATCTTTCATGGCTACTGGATCCTGACTATTTTCTGGGCTGGTGTGAAACTATGTGGATTTGAAATTGAAGGCCTGGCCTAGCCGGTATACTTTGGGCCCGTCTAAGGCCTACTATAGTCATTTTATAACTTTGTAATTTATTTCATTCATTAGGCCTGTAATAATTCTGTAATAACAATTTGGGTGTTAGTGAAATTGGAAAAATGGGTTTACTTTAATATTTAACGGGTAGAAATCCTGCCTATAGGTGTTTAATTTGCTCGAACATATTCTGCTTCTATGTGTGTTAGGTAACCTGCCTATAGGACTTCAATGTTCAATTCGTTCAACATATTCTGCTTCTACATGATTGCTAGATATCATGCCTATAGGAAATAAAATTATCAATCTTTCGATTGCAGCATATTCACTAGATACCATGATCATAGGATTATATTAGTGCTACAAATCTGCATTTTTAGAAATCATGCCTATAGGGTCTTAATTGTTTGATGTGTTGTTATTATAATTACTCTTTTAGGAGATATGCCTATAGGAGATAAAACCAGTTTTAATCGCTAATTGTAGAAATCCTACCCATAGGAGAATCCCACTCGCTTTTAAGTGTTAATATTGAACTTTCAAACACTATTTCGTTGCTACTGTTAGAAAGCATGCCATAGGATCAAACTAAGTAATTCTGAAAATCTTCCATGGTTATCACTGCCAACTACTGCAACTAGATATCACATCTATAGGTTTAAACACTTATAATCTGTAATTTTAGTAATCAGTACGCAATACTAAACTCCCTGAAATATATAGTTATTCAGAAAGCATGCCTCTAAAATAGCACCTTACATCTGAAACTGCCAGCATGTTTGAATTCCAAGTTCACATAGAAACCATGTCTATAGGGCTTAATAACTTTAACTCGTCTCAATTCTGGAATTGTCAAACACTTAATTTTTTTCGTGCATTTGTTGTCTAAGTGTGGAGGCTAACTTGAGCCCTTAACTGCTTTTATGTGAGGTCCAACTTGTTTTGTATGTCGCTTAGTTTTCTCATTTTGAGTAACCTAAGTTAGGTCTAGAACCACCCAAAATAGAGGTCCAAAAGCCTCCTGGACCATAGGCATGGGATGGGTAGTGCACGCATAAGGCACGATTTAGAATCAACTAGTGCGCTTTATGTAATAACTTAAAGATAATAATCAGGTAGCAGGAGATGATAGTTTGTGCCCGCTGAATAATACGAGTAACACCCCATCTTGAGGGAGTTACGAAGTATTATTTATGTTGCACAGGGTGATCCTTTAGGCTAAAAAAGTTAGGACACCCCACCCCCATCCCACCCCATCTTGTCTTTAAATCAATTATTTGTGTTTAATAATGAACTTCCCAAACTCCTTGTTTTCTTTGTCTTTGATCCCATAGACTAATTTATATAATTCTAGTTCGGCCGGGACCCACAATTGTGGACCTCAAAAGTGCCTAACACCTTCTCTTCGAGGTAATTTCGAGCCTTTACCCGATCTTTGGGGACGCAAACTGGTTAAACCTGAGTAATTTGCAAATAGGTGCCCTAACGCACCTCAAACCCGTTAGGTGGTGACTCTCTCTTTTAACACCTTCCTTAAAAGAGTTGTCACGTGTCGAAACCCAATTTCACGAGAAAAAGGGGTGCGACAAATATCACAATGCAAACCTCTGATTGATAAGATGCTAGGGAGGATTCAATCATGGACTATAAGGTTCCTACCGTCTGCTGGTAGAATCCAATTGATCAAAAATGTTTTGTTCTCCATCCAAGTTTACTGTTCTCGGATCTTTACTCTACCAAAGAAGATCACTAAACCGATTGAGTCTGTGAGTAGAAGATTTTTATGGACAAGAGGTGTTGAACTGTCAAAAAAGGCATTAATTGCATGGGACAAATTGTGTTTTCCTAGATCAGCAGGGGCCTTAACATTCTTGATGTAATCACATGGAACAAGGCAGCTACATGTAAACTCTTGTGGAACTTATATAAGAAGAAAGATAAGATGTGGGTGCAGTGGGTTCATATTTACTATGGGAAACAAGGCACAGTGTGGGGAGCATAACCAAAGCAAGCCTCCTAGATAGTACAAAAGATTCTAAAGGCATGAAAATACTTTAAGGCGCTTGGCTGGACAGAGGAAGAGGTACAAAGAATTGAGATGTTTTCCATTAAAGATATCTACTTGAAGTTAAGGGGAGAATTTCAGAAGGTCAACGGAGAAGGTAAGTATGCAACAATGCTGCCCCTCCAAAATGGATTTTCAGTCTGTATCTGGCCTCCTGGGGCAGGTTGCTTACCAAGGAGAGGCTAGTAAAGTGGGGATGCTTAGATGATATGAGCTGCTCTTTATGTGATGCTTTAGTAGAAAACACTGATCATTTATTTTTCAACTGTACCTTTTCTGCACAAGTTTGGAGAGCAATGTTACAATGGCAAGGCATACAAAAACAACCTATGAGCTTGCAACAGGAGATAGAATGGGCAATCACACATTATAGGGGAACGAATGCAGCAGCTGAAGTCTACAGAATGAGCCTAGCAGGATCCATCTATCATATATGGCAGGAGAGGAACCTCACGATCTTTCAAGCTAAGAGTAGAAATGCAACAGTGTTGATCAGAGCTATTGTTCAAGAAATACACTGTAGAGGAGAACTGAAGCAAAAGCTAGCAAGACGACTGCAAGAGTTAGATTACTATCCGTGTGCTTAACTGATGTATGCTAGTATTTGAGCTACTCCTGATAGTTAAGGTAGGGAAGTGAAGTCGATACACCTGGGGTTGTATGTCTAGAGTGTGTTCTCTATATTTTTCTTCTGGTTTGTAAATAAAATCTTTACTTAACCCAAAAAAAAAAGTGAAACGAACGGATAATTTAGCATAAGCATTTGTATTTGATCTAGCTTAGTGATCTTTTCTTTCACCCCCTAGTCTCCAAAATCACATTTTGCTCCTCAGCATAATTTTTGGCCTCAAGAATCCAAACCACACTAAACATCAAATGCAATCCAAGAAAATCGAACTTACAAGACTTAATAAAAAGGAAACACATTCGACCACTATCCTATTTAAAAAATAATTAAAAAAAAACTGAGAAAGATTACAAAAAAATAACAATAAAAAAGTTAAACTGAAATTTAGTATAACGAATCCTCCGCGACAAACTATTTTGAAAGTTCACAGTTTTTTTCTGAATAACTTGCCTTCCAATTGAAAGAGATGTATTTTGAAGTTAAACAACAAACATAATATTAACTAGTAAAAGCACATGTAGTCTGCTGCTGTTGCCCTCACTCCTCACAGACAACAATATATTCATTTCCTTTCACAAAAACCATCACAAAATAATAAAATTTACAACCGAATACATGAGAGTTTCAAGAATGACTATCAGTAAAAATTTGAAATTTTAATACCCCGGAAAATTGTCGCCTAAAAAGTGAAACAAACGTCGGATCCCGATATATCAAGAACTACAACATGCTTTCTTTTCTGGGATAACTTGTCCAGGACCAGGTACAAGAATCTTCTTTCCAGTTAAAGATGCAGGATTGCCATTGGATTGATTCTCATCTGCAGCAAGATTCTTCTTGTTCACAATGTTGAAGATCTCTGTCAAAACAGTCAAGAATGCATCCTCCACGTTTGTCGCTTCCATCGCAGAAGTCTCCAAGAAGAATAATCCTTCTTTCTGGGCAAATTCTTTAGCATCCTCGGTAGGGACAGCTCGTTGGTCTTCAAGATCTGTTTTGTTTCCGATCAGCATGATCACGATATTCCTATCGGCATGTGCACGCAATTCTTCCAGCCAACGGGGTATGTGATCAAAGGTTTGGCGTTTCGTTATGTCATAAACCAACATAGCTCCAACAGCTCCCCTGTAGTATGCACTTGTAACAGCTCTATATCTGATAATGACAAGTAAATGACTAAAGCAGTTACACAATTGTTAAGTTTCTACTCCATTTATCGAGTCTAAAAGATATCTTACACAAGGAAAAGCCTTAAATGCGGAAATCAAGCTATTCGGATCCGTAATGTGATATCAATATGACAGGAATGTAAGATCTGGTAAGAAGTAAGATTTGGTAAAACGTATGTATTAGAGCTTCGGAGAATCTAGAAGGGCATACTCTAAATCCTAACTCCAATAGATCATTTGGCAGTGCACTTGCACATAATAACAATTTGATAGTTGTGTAGATGTTTCCTCGGAATAAATACAATGTCGGATCCATAGCAGGCATACTTTGCATATTAGTAAAAAGGAAGCAACAAGCAACCAAAAACACCATAGTTTATCCAAATCTCAAGTGGCATTGATGTTTTTAGAATGTTACCATTCATCCACTCTAATATTAACCAATTTCATTTTAAAGAAGCATCTCAATGTGGCATTTTCGCCCCAAAACTTGGGTTCTTAAATACAATAGAGGAACCTGTAACGTAGGAGTAATTTTAAGAAGCTGAACAAAAACAAGAAGCAGAGGAAAGCTGGCAAAAAAAACTGGATATCTCCTCCAATGCTACACTCGACAATGTGGCTGCTGGTGTGAATTCATAATGTAAATGCTAATGCCCACCCTGGACATAACTTGGTGCAAGGGACAGATGCACCACCAAAACCAAGAATTCAAGCCGCATCAGTGAGCACATACTGAGAACTCTCAACATGATGCTTTCATCTCCGTGTTCATCTTATGAAATGAAGCTGTTTATTAAATAAGAGTTGTGAAATGAAGTTGTTGGTGTGGTCAATTGACTAATTAGGACAGACCTGCATGCAATAACTTGAATGGAAACGACGACGTTTTCAGTGAAAAAATGACACAACACTAAGATCTTTAGGTGAAGTACACGAGAGTGCAGTAGAACTGGGTTAAAAAGAAGGAGAAGATCAAAGATGGGTGCGTAAGGCCCATCATTCTAAACCTGAGATAGATCAGGATGAAATACTACTAGCAAAGAAACTAAAGATGGTTGGATCAATAACGGAGATTCTGGTGACAATAAAAGTTGGTAATACTTTATTTCTTTAAAAACTGAGTGGCCACCGAACATCTTTAAGCAGTTTGTCAGTGAGCCAAAAAACCTTGACTATCCACTGGGGTTGCAATGGTCATGATACTATATGAAGAACCAGTTACAGATAACCAAATAAAGAATTTCTTTTTGGTAATTGAGAGAGAACCAAAATTTTGAGATTGCGCACGATTGCATCAGAGCAATGTCTCAACCTTGCACATCTATATCCATGTTTTATTTACAATGACTTCCACTCCTGTTGACTATGGGATACAATCACTAAAAATGGGGCCTAATTTATGGATAATATCCCATTTATGTTGCACCAGTTAAGTAGTTGTCCAATACGAGTTGTTACCTTAAAAACCCAGACATACTCTACAATCTTGTCCTAGTTTCGTCCTTGGTCCTAGCTTAGATGCAAATGACTTGGCAGTTCCATCAAGACTCATAAGGGCAAAAAAGTATATATATATATATATAGTGGGGGGGGGGGGGGGAGGGGGGGGGGATTTGTGTGATAGGAATCCTTTGGGATACTACAAACATTCGGGATACTACAAACATTTAAAATATATAATGCAACAACTTGAAATAGACTAATTTTTATCACCTATCCAATTTAGGACCAAATAGAGCAGATGAACCTATAGCCTTTTTGTCCAATGATATGATACTTAGAAAATTATAGTTCATGGTCATCTACAAATTCATCAATATACACTTTTCAATAGGTAATCTTAAAAAGGTTGAATGAGAAAAATACTAAATTTTCACATTATAGTGAACAGAAAAGTGACCTAGCGGTTCAAGGAATATTAGTGGATAAAGACAAGAACTACTCTACAAGAAAGACTAGTGAAAACCAAAAACAAGAAAGGCAATCTGTCAACCTAATCTACAATATTCAGGGCAGGTATCTTTATATTATACTATATCAAACTATTGCTAGACAAGAGAATACATTTAATAAACAAAGAGCAATAGAAAGCAGGACCCCACCCGCATAAGGAAAAAGTTCAACAAGAAAACAAGAGGTTGACATGCACACAGCAATCCCTGGGTTGCTAGAGGAACCAAATAAAAAGAACTTGGCTCCTTAAGTTTTGAAATTCAACTATCAATACCAAGATATTTGAGACTTGGGCCAGTACTAAATTTTGTTTATGGTGCATAAGCTTGAAGATGAATTTTTCCTACTACTTGGTAGAGTCTTCTCTGGTCAATGCTGAAAACATGATTAAACTAGGCAAACTAGAACTGAGCACACTGCACTTATCAATTAGAAAAGCAAATAAGCAAACTGCGACAAAGTCAACCCGACTCAGTCAGTTCAACTGAGTTGTCAAAAATTTAGGCCTGAGCCTACTCAACATGGTCAACTCAATTGATTTGTCAAGTTTAAATGATATTTCACGATATGATTCCACTCAAGCACATGACTGTTTTCAGTTTGAGTAACTATTTGAAATCAATTTGAAAAGAGCAAAATTTCATTACAATTATATCTATGTAAAAGATAAGTATTTAATGCCAATTGACAACCAAATGTAATACTCATAACAACCCCCCACCCCTGGTTTCAGTTAATATGTCTTACTTTCTTTGTTAGTTTGTTTCAAAAAGAATGTCACCCTTCTATTTTTTTATAATATATCTCACCCTACTATATTTAGTAAGTTTTGAATTCCAACATATCCATTTTACCCTTAACGACATCCCTTATGAATGACATGACATGTTTACCACAAGATTTAAAGGGTATTTTGGTATGTCATTCACACCATTACTTTAAGGCCACAAGATTCAAAAGTCTTCTCTATATTTTTAAACTTCGTGTCCAATCAAACTAAGACATATAAATAAAATGAAATAGAAGAATAAAATTAGTCATGTATAATATATGGTTATAAAAAGAGTAGTGATGATTAACACGTATCTTCTATAATACATGACTAAGTCTTTGTTTTTGTTCGTAAATTTTCGAGTCAATTGAGTCTTTGCCTTAGATAGCCTTCTCTTATCAATTTGAGTGTGAGTTTGAAGTTCACACAAAACTTCCTACTTTATCCAAAACTTCCAAATATCCCATCTAATTCTTAATTGATAATCGCTCTCCAACAACCAAACTAAATCACTGAAAGAAGCTTTTCCGGATTATTTAAGAAACAGAATAATTACAACCTTTTCACCAATTAAGTACTATATCCCAAGTCTCCTACTACATAGAACACTCCTAAGACAGCTGCATGAAAGAGCATAAACTTAATGAATAAACAATTATACAAAAGTTTTATTAGTCGTTATACAAACGGAGAGATCTATATAAAAGGGAAACAATTCAAGCTCCAAATTTCAAGAATATCCCATCCAAATAGCAAATGCAAACTTCTGCATTGTGTATTCAAATACATGTTGGATATTCCCTTCATAATCCCCTTTGAAAATTCAAGTTGCCTCATAAACTCGCAAGAAATTATGACACAGAGGGTAAAATAAAAGGAGCTAACAAACTACAGAATGATCAAAGATTATCACCAACATTTGCTGAACTCAGCTTAAGAATTACTGGTAACCTTATCAAACGAAGAATTACTGAAAAGTATCAAAATAGTTAAAATGCAAAGAAAGCAGCACCCCACAACCATTGGTAACCATACACAGAAGAAATCTTGGAGTAAACCAATAATATACTCTCTGTGCCATTTTCACAACACACATATTATTTCAAGATTCAAACAGTTTTTCTCCTATGACTAAACAGGCAGCCCGGTGCACTAAGCTTCCACTATGCGCAGGATCTGAGGAAGGGCCGCACCACAAATATACCCTGCATTTCTGCAAGAGGCTGTTTCCACAAGGGTCTATAGTTTTTCTCCTATGACTATTAATTTTAAACATTTTATATTATACTTAAAAGCAAAATGAAAATATTTCAATGCACCCAAGAGTACGGCTCAGTGGTCAATGAAGCAAATACAAACTTTAGAGCAGGGTTCGAATATCAATAGAAATAGAAAAGACACTAGGTGATTTTTTTTCCATCTACCTAAGCCTTAGAGGGCTAAGTTATCAGTAAATGTGTTATGATGTAGCAGGTATCCAGTGTGCTTGTGAGAGATAGCAGGAGAATAGTCGCCGCAAGCTGCCTCTGGCACTACCATCATTAAAAATATATATAAAAATATTATACTACTTTTATAGCACTCCTATATTGAATCATCCCTAAAATTAGCAGGAAAGGTGTGACCTTCTACTCTCAACCCCTTCATTCCTTTTGGATTGAGGAATTACTAATAAGATTTAAGTTATATACATTGATGACAGTGTAGTAAATTTTTTACAACATCAGTGTAATTTAACCAATTAAAGCAGGTTACTTATCATTTATTAAAGGTTATCAATCAACCTTATTAATAGATTGTCTAAATACCATCAGTGCTACGGGCAGATGTAACCTTTCAGCTACGGGTTGAACCCATAAATTTTGACACGGGCTATAGATTTGTACGTACAAAACTACTAAAATCATAACAGTACAATAAGTTATCTTAAAAGTTGAACCCATTAAATTTAAATCATGGATTCTGATTATTCAGTGCATGCAACTTAAACTCATATACAACAACAACAACAACAACAACAACAACAACAACAAAAGGAGAAATGGAGTTTGCTGTAATTCAAAAGAAGAATTGAAGAGTCAAAAATATTGATACCGTTCTTGACCAGCAGTATCCCAGATCTGAGCTTTAACAGACTTGTGTTGAATGACTAGGGTTCGTGTCTGGAACTCAACCCCAATTGTGGCCTTAGAATCCAGGCTAAATTCATTACGAGCAAATCGAGCCAGTATCTGTGACTTGCCTACAGCTGAGTCACCGATTAACACCACTTTGAATACATAATCTATCTTCTGGCTCGCATCCCCATACCCACTCGCCATTTTTTTTTAAAACCAGAAAATTAAGCTTCTGTATAGTCAATCAGCAGCTGAAATTTAGAGAGAGAGAGAGAGAGAGAGATTGGAAAGAGAGGAGACGCGGATCTTGGCTAGTCTTTGCTGGGATATTGCTGTCTGAAAATTGGTTTACATACTTTTCCTTTGGACTGCTGTCAAAGAATTAAAAGAAATATTAATAGAAGGGATCAAGGAAAAAGGTTATTTTTCTTTATTTAATTTTTGGGGTCAAATTTTTTCTTTAAAAAAAATGAGATTTTTGATAAAGGGAAGAGGATTGTGAGGTTTAAAGTAAGTAATTTATGTATAATAATGTTATTATTACTAATCATTGTATGATAATTTTTTTATTATTAATATCGATATAAATAACTCATATATGCATAATTAACAAAACAATCTGTTAGAGATATGAGCGGAGCTAGGTTGGCGGAAGGGGAATCCCCTTGATTTCTTTGTATGTTTACTTTTTTATTTTCTGAAATCTCTGTGGTAAAAATCCCGACTTCGCCGTCGATTATATAAAAAAGGATTTAAATTTTCAAGGATGTCAATAATTGTAATAATGTGCTGACATAGACTTTTATCGGTCCAAAAAATGTTGTATGGCTTTGTTGTTTTCCTTTTTTCTTTTTTTGTATGATCATTATGGTGCATGTTAATTTGTTAGCAAGCATAATTACCCAACTATTTTTGCGTTTGCTTTAATTTGAATGCATAAATGCCTAAGGTGTAATGTCATTTAGAGAGTAATGAATATCTACCTGAGTGTTATAAATAGAATTTTATTTATGGTGAATGTAGAGAGATTCTAGGGATTATTACTTGGTGGCTAAGTCACTCTTTCCCTATAAATAGAGGGTTTTATTCCATTGTAATTCATCTCCAAAACAATAAGAATTTTCTCTCTCTTTTTTTGTAATATTCTTCTTTTATTATTTTATAACACGTTATCAGCACGACTCTAACCAATCGAGTAGAAGCTTTGGGATTGAGCATAATGATTGTCAATTGTTCCATGAACTTACTTCGTGATTACGTTCTGGATTTAAGGTATGTATTTTACCGTATTTTTCTCTTTTATTCTATAAAATAATTTTAAATACAAGCAAAGATAATAAATTTTGATTATAACTCTAATGGACTTAGTAAGAAATTATAACCACTCGAAGTGGTAAAATTTCTATGTCTTGCCATGATCAAAGTCATGTATGATCGTGAGCACAAGAAGTCCCGTCCCATTGAATTTGCTTCATTCTCATTCCCTTAAGAGAATGTGGTAGCAATATGTAATAAGTGTGAAAGAAGACAAAATTATTATCGTGAAGGTATCAATGGATGTGGACGTGACAATAGACAAAATTATAATCATCATCATTATGGTAATGAGATTCTCAAAATAATCCTTCACTCTGTGAAAATAATATTTGTCATCGATTTGACATGAGATTTTGTAAAGCACATATCAATGATTATGGTCCATTCATAATGTGATGTGACAACATGTGATTTATGAATACATATTCATTTTTGGAAGAATATGAGTGTGGTAGTGGTATATACCACACTCACCTCTAGATGGAGGTTTGAGAAGAAATAAGAAAATAATGTCATTATTGTGGCATAAATGGTCATTGGTCACGTACTTATTGTACGCCAAAATATTTTGGCATTGTGATTATTAAAAGACAACGGTAATGTAAGAAACAGATCTTGCATATAATTTTGACCATAACCATAATGGTATGACTTTCTCTTTAAAAGAGATATTCACCATATGGATGTTGATGAATATGTGGTACTACAAAATTAATTGAGAACTCTACAAGAGTCAATTATACTATTTTGGAGAAACACAATTGATTACCAATAAGGTATTGTGCTGTAGTAAGTCTCAAAGAAACTTATTCAGTTTCCAAAGTATACGTGAAAGCGGTTGATTATATTGAGACTATAAATAAATAAAAGATTTAATCTTCTATTACTACAACTTGTAGAGGGGTAATATGTATGTGAAAAGCTACCCGCTTTATTTTCCAATTTGTACTACATAAATAAAAGAATGCCACAATAAAGTAGAAGTTTATTGATATAGAAACCATATCATAATAGATTTGGAGTTTATTGATAATTGCACATGTCATGTGTAAACCTGAAGTTTATCAATATTGATAATTTATCTAGTCGGCATAATTGATTTAGCCATATCAATTTAAGTATGATGTGCAAAAATAAATGAGAATTCACATGGGTAAATATTAAAGAACTAGGAAGTTATTTACCAATTCTCTTATGTTGCTTGTTCTTATTAATTAATAGACCAACTAAAATTGGGATTGAATCCCATGAATGCTGAAAATATCAAAGGTGAATATGGGCCCATTCATATGCCATGTATACCACATAACATGCATCTATGAGATGGTTACATGTGTGATTATTATAAACCCGCAACCTAGCCGGTGTTTGCGAGGTAACTTGTTCAGTAATTTAATTTCGAGCATAATTTCCAGATTTTCTATTTAAGAAGTTCATCTTGATAAGTTGGTTTGCATCACAGTTGGTTTAGCAAAATAATTTATTGAGTGCCTCCACTTAATAGCTAAACTATTGCTTATGAGAACAAAGTTATCTATATCAGTATGATATAGGTTATATACGAAAGTACATTACATTCTCCCCTCACAAGTGGTTCAGGATATGGAACCAAATAATTTCATCTTATTATTATTGATGTGCGGTGCATGTTTTGATTAACACCATAGCGCATAAAGATGGGTTCTCAGAGTTGAGGAAACAAGTTAGTTTTTCTAACATGAAGGGGAGAGATAAACAGTTGAGAAAAAGTTACGTGGAATGAATTATCATTTGTACATCTAGATCCTCGAATAAGATAATATGAACTTGAGGTTCATAAAAAAGATAATTCATTTGCAATATATTGCAAAGCATGCCAGACGCATTTGATGACCCAAAGAAGGTAATTATATTCTTATTGAAAATGTTCATATTAACTCCTAGAAGGACTAAGTTTATGGTACGCCTAAAGTGTATAGACAAATTGGTTTCAAATAAACTTCTTGATAAAGAAGATGAGCAATTGATCTAGATGATCATAATAAAGGAGGCAAGTTATCTAGAATGTCACATGACATAACACTTCATAAAATCTCATGAGAGATTCAGGTACCTGAATATATGAATGAAGAGATCTCTATGTTATGTCTTATGAAAAATAATGAGGTTGGAACCGATATAAAATGTATGTCGATAACATCTATGATAGCACTAAATATATATGAGCATCTTAAGTCTAGAGAAACGATTCAAGTAGAATTGGTTTCATATGAAAGACATGTTGTTTTGGACATGCAGTTCAAACACTTGAAAGTATAAAGTCAATGGTGTGTGCAAGCACTTTTATTTATCTTATATGTCTAGCATCACATGAAAAGTTGATATGCATCTAAAGTCTATTTAAATGACTTATTTGACTATACTTATATGACAATCCCCAAAGGATTTAAATTGCTTAAAGCATATACAATTCTTGATCTTAAAGTACCACATCCTTAGTGCAATTTGTGCACAAATGTATCCTGCTATAATTATACGCATGATAATATGATCACATGAGTTTTTGCCTCTATGTGATGATATTGAAATGACGATTCTAACAAGATCATATGAAGACAATACATCTCTATCAAGAATGATGATTTCAAGGTGAAACAAATTCATTCAAGTTAATATGGCTGATTTATTTATCAAGTCTCTACCAACGATCTTTTGAAGATGGTGCACAAGATTGGAATGCGAAGGCTCAAGGATGTGAATTGATGCTCTCATCAGAGGGAGTTAATACACATTGTACTCTTTTCCCTTACAAGGTTTGTCCCACTGGGTTTTCCTTGCAAGGTTTTTAACGAGGCAAACAAAAGGCGTATTGTAGATATGTGTACTCTTTTCCTTCTCTAGAATTTTTTTCCCACTGGGTATTATTTTAGTTAAGGTTTTAAGATCACGCCCAACTATGCCTTATAAAAAGGACTAAGCGGTCGTTGCAAATATAATCCGGTTTACAAGTCCCGAGTCGAATCCCACAGAGAACTAAGGCTTAGCTACAGCTGTTCACTATCACCAAGAAGACAAGCTTGAATAATTCCTAACTTATAGATATTAAGGTTCTTGTGTTTAACTAATTAACTAATAAATTAAAATAGTAAATTAACAACTAAAGATACTAAGTATTAGAGACAAGACAAAGGAGGTCTAGAGTTATGATTTTCCCAATTGTCGGAATCCTTCCCACTATATCTTCTATAATTTCGCCTAAGTGTTCTCTACCGATCATGAGGGCTCTGCGTGTTGTAATTCTCTCCCGAGTAATTACGACAATTTACTAGACATACTCTCCCAATCTACGCTAGCTGGCTTTAATTACAGCTCACTTAGATCGCACCCAAGGTTTCGTTATCACTAATCCCACCTTTAAACCCTTGGTTATTGATTCCTCACATACGTCAGGAGTGATGTTGTTCAACAACTACCTAAATATGCACTCTCTCCCGAGTAATATATACTAAATAGGCACAGCTAATTGAGGGCCCTTCAATCAACCACAAGAATAATATAGTTGAACAAATAGAGAAAATACTACGACTCAATTATATAAAAACATAACAAGAATTTATCCTACAAAAGGTTCCATCAAAACTCTAGATAACAAATTAGCTATTCATAATAGTATATAAATCTACAATACTAAAAGTCATAACCAACAATGAAAAATAGGAAGAGGAAGGAAAAACTCGTAGAAGAATTTCCCGCCTTGCTCCTCTTGTGTCTCTGCCTCCTTAGGTTGAATCTGTGTCAAAAATTGGTCTCCTCCCCTCAAAATACCATTTTTCCATGTATATATGCCAAGTAGGGTCGGGCCCAAACTATTATACCTTCTCCTACGCGAAAAAGGATAATTTTTTCAGGTCTGGACGCCGCGGTCTCGGTCAACCGCGGTACGAACGCGGTATGTGGCAAGTATACTGCCTCAGCCCGCCTCAGGTCCGTGGTCGCGGTTTCGACCGCGTTTTTCGCTCTGTTCCGTTTGGAAATCGGAAAAACGTAAAACATGAAAGTTGTAGCCCTTAGAGTTAGCTTTCCAATAATATATTGTGGAGCCCAAATGGAGTTCTGAGAGAAAAGTTATGTAGATTTTACTAAACAGTGCGCAATATGCCTCCTCGATTCTTCGTTTTGTTGCTCTATCATCCGTTGCTCCCCGAATACGATCCTGGCTTAATTCCTTGGGCTTTTACTCGAACTTCAAAGCTCCAAATCACTTGAATTTATTCCATAACATCTATGTAGCTCGGAATCACTCCTACAAGGCATAAAACACACAATTAGTGCAAGACACTATCGATTAAAGCTCAAACTCAATTAAAGTGCAGTAAATTTGAGTGTAATAAGCGAATAAAATACGTAATTATAGCCTATCATCACGAGACACATTATCTATTGAATAGACATTCTAGGGGGAGTGTTATAAATAGAATTTTATTTATGGTGAATGTAAAGAGATTCTAGGGATTATTACATGGTGGCTAAGTCACTTTTTCCCTATAAATAGAAGGTTCTAATTCATTTCCAAATCAATGTAAATTTTCTCTCTCTTTCTTTGCAATATTTTTTTTTATTATTTTATAACACTAAGCATATTTTAATATTTCTCTCGCATTGTATGTCCTATCTACCCTTTCTTTAGTTAATAACTCTCGTACCTAAGCATACTTTAATATTTCTTTCGAAAGTTGATGTAATATCTACGCTTTCTTTAGTTAACTCTCATATTGTTACTCACTCTTTTTTAGAATCATTAACAGGAATTTCTTGCAACAGCAGAAACTGAAAATATATGGGACAACAAGCGAGGACCAGAATGAAGGTAGCGGAAATGAGGATGTTGAAATGGATGTGTGGGCATACTAGGTTGAATAGAATTAGGAATGAAGTTATTCGAGATAAGGTGGGAGTGGCCCCTGTGAAGGCAAAGATGCTAGAGGCAAGGTTGAGATGGTTCGGACATGTTAAGAGGAGAAGAGCAGATGCCCCTGGGAGATGTGAGAGGTTGGCCTTAGGAGGTGAGAGGTGAGAGGAGGAGTAGAGGTAGGCCAAAGAAGTCTCGGGGAGAGGTGATCAGGCGGGACATGGCGCAACTTGAGCTAACCGAGGACATGACTCTAGATAGAAGGGTGTGGAGGTTGAAGATTAGAGTAGAAGGTTAGTAGGTAGTCGTGCGTCTCCCATTGTCTTCTCTAGCTCGATAGTATTAGCACTAGTACGATACTCTTTTTTCCTTAGTTTGATATATTCGCATGTCTCGTTTCGTTGTTACTTGCCATTGATATTTCCGTAGTTTGCTAGCAGTTCTTCGTTCATATTCTCGTCAGCTGCCTTGGGATTAGTTTTCTAAATATGTTATCTTGCTACTACTTGTTATCAGTGCCCCTTTCATATTATATGTTGCTATCTTCGATTTAGTTTTCTAATTATTGTCTTGCTATTACTTGCTATCGGGGCTTCTCTCACCTTCTTTAGCCGAGGGTCTGTCGGAAATAGTCTCTCTGCCCTTCCAGGGTAGGGGTAAGATTGCGTACATCCTACCCTCCCCAGACCCCACTTGTGGAACCACACTGGGTTGTTGTTGTTGTTGTAAGCGAGGACCAGAATATGAAAAATGCATCTAATTTAACATTCAATGACAGGGCAGCCTGGTGTACTAAGCTTCCGCTTGCTTGTGGTCTGGGGAAGGGCGGACCACAATGATCTATCGTACGCAATCTTACCCTTTATTTCTACAAGAGGCTATTTCCATGGCTCGAACTGTGACCGTCTGGTCACATGGTAGCAACTTTATCACTTACGCTATAAAGTTGCGCCAAGCCTCCCCTTCCCTAATCTAACAGTTAATGGAATTTTTTTCACATATGTGAGCAGACTGAACCAATTCAAGCTTCGACTGGTATTTTTTTTCACATATGTATAGAATGTTTGATATTGGGAACTAACAGAAAACAGTGGTTAAAAGGTTATTGAGATTCAAACTCGTGACATTACCGTTCGAATTGTAACCTCTTATTTTATAAATTATTCTTTGGAACATTTACATATCTATGTGAAAACTATAGGTGGCTAATGTTTTTTTTACGTTTGTTTTAGTAATTTATCATTTCTCTATATATATATATATATATATGTATATATATACTTTAAAAGCAGGAAGCCCTTATTTGAAAGTTAAATTACTTTTTTACCCTTCTTATTTTAAAAACATAATTATGTACTTACTGAAAAAGATCGGGCGTGCAAAAATCCCCCAATTAGATCCGAATCGATGTGTTCATTCAGACTTCAGAGAATTCGTTACATATCCATGTGATGGGATACGCTCCTTCAGAATACCATAACATAAATTGCTCATGGAAAGCAACTTTACTCGGTCTAGAAGGTCGCCCCTGTTATTTGCTTCTTCAACCCGATACGTTGCACTATTGCCGACTTACTGGAGAAATGGGAATAAGGATGCACCAGTAACGATTTGTTGATAACAAAGGCGGACATTATATTCCAGCGCCACTTCAATCTAACCATATCAGTTATCTCTCCACCACTACTTGGCTTTCACTGCAAAGAGACTTTCGGCGCATACAAATTTCTTATGCTTCTCCTTTGCTTGGCTGTGTTTCTCAACTGATTTACTAATCTACTTTTACATTTTGTTATTGAGTTGACATATGTGCTGCGAAATGGTTATATATTTTGGAGATGATTACAGGAGTAACAATTATTTGCTACTTTAACGATGTACTGCTTGAATACATAATACTTCTAATTAAGCCTACACTTGTGTTCGTCCTCCTGTAATTTTTGGAGACTGACTGTAGTCATCGCTTTGTGTTTGTAAGTGCTTTGTAAGGTTATATATTGCGAGTATGGTTGCAAGTTCTTAATATGTTTCCTGTAATTTTTCTTCTGATTAATAAGTTCAGTATGTGCATACCTGAAAATTATTTATGATCTGAATGTGTACATAATAATATTGTATCCTAACAAGAACTTTAGAAGTGATTATTCCACCAATAAGTATTTATCAAAGGAAACTGACCCGTGGCACATGAGCAGTACATGAGATTCTAATAGCTTGTTGAGTTCGTGTTAAATACCCATATTGTTTGATGGGCTTGCTAGAAGTTTAGGGTGTTCTAGGTGAAGATAGTTGCTTTTAATGTTATGCATTGGCTACAGAGATGAGGAAACATATAGTACTTGCAATCCTAGGAACTCCCAGAAAACTGAGATTAGATCAAAGACAAATGAACTTTTCATCCATTATATGAGATGCACAAGCATATAGCTTAGAGCCTAGTGAGCATCATCATAATAAAATAAATTTTCTCTATGTCATCTAAGTATCTAATTCACAAAGATATGAAGTGGGCAACATTTAGGCACACGTTTCTTAATATTACACTAGCTCTTCCCATCTCTGATAGTTTTATCAACTAGAAATTAGAGTAATATTATCAAATTCTACGGTATTATAGGAAGAAAAAATGTTTAGAATATAGTAAACTTGTGTGGCAGAATGACTCCTAAACAGAAATCTTGATCATTTTAATGGTACGAAGGAAGATTTCCCAAGGCAAGCTGCATATTGGGCTTTAAGATATGGCTACAGAGCAATTAGACATTAACGAGTAGTAGAGCACTTGAGCAGCAAGTACTTATCAATACGCAAATCAAGAATGAAAGTAGAGAAATCACTTACAATGGGATGCAGTCCAACACGTGGAGGTGCGCAGGGTCAAACAATCCGCAATGTTGGATTACATCTATCACAATATATTTTCTCACAGTCAACTACATTGTACTCTATCAATATCGACAATAAAAGTTCTGGTTCTGACAAAACAATTGAAACACATGAAAGGGAGAAACATCAAGAATAATCTATAAGGAAGTATTAGGTGACATACTTTTAATTACATGTTTGTACCTTATAAAATCATAATAAGTAAAAAGAATGATATGTATCTAACTAAACCTTGATCATTCATCTTAGAAGGTTAGACGATGTCCAATCATCATGTATAATTATTTGCTCAAAATTTTATTTAATAATATTAATATTATTTTATAACAACGTATACTACATGACTTGGTATATATATACACGTGCAACGCACGTGCTGAGAGACTAGTGTGTGTGTGTATATATATATATATATATATCTTGCGCTTTCTATTACTATCATCTTTTCCATCTTTAATAGCATGTTAGAAATTTGTGTTTTCTCTAGAGAAATTAGGGTTTTTTTGCGTAGAAACTTTAACCTGCCAAGAGCTTTTGTTCTGTAGGTGTTTGAAAAAATTCTTCAATGAATTGTGCTTTCTACTACATTTCCTATGTATCTCACTGTATTTTTCTATTGTCTGCTGTAGTTTTTGATTACTGGCTCTGTAGTGTTACATTGAGGCTGAGGTATTAGTTTCTCACCATGTCCAACTCTTTTTCCCTGTGTCTTCATCTCTGCTTTATTGAGTTGCTTCGATTTTCTGCACCTGTTGATATTTGATCTTCTTTCGTCGTTGATTATCTGTTGAGGTGAGCTTCAACTTTGTTCTTTTTGTTTCTTTTTTCACGGTTATTTTTGTTCATCTGAGGTATCTAAGTGTGTGTTTGCTTCTACTGATAGTACTAATTTTGTGAAGGTTTGCGTACACACTACCCTCCCCAGACCCCACTAATGGGATTTTACTGGGTTGTTGTCGTTGTTGTTACTCATTTTGTGAAGTTCTTTATGAGTAAGGTGAACAAACCTTTTATTGGCTCTAAATTCCAACAAGATTGGAACTTTTAACAGAGCATACAGAAGATATCTTTTAGGATAATAATACAGAGTTGTACTTACTTGTAGAACATCGAAAGAACTGAATTCAAATGGGAAAATAAAATAAAAATCAAAAGTCACTATGTTGTCTTAGAATTGAGAAGACTGCAGAAAGAAATAAGGGTGAGAGTTGACTGATACCAAAAGTTTTAGTGTTATAGGACCAACTTCAGATTCACCTGTAAGTTATGCAAAGAGCAAAGTTACTAGGATCTAAGGATACGTAGTTAATTGAAGGAAAAAAAGAGAACTTTACGTCTTTCTGAAGATATCAGCTATGGTGTGTATATTAGTAATTGTTTATCGATATACAATAGTAACAGACATTCATGCATATTGTATGGTATAATAAACCCTGGGGTAGGTTTGGGGGTAATACTTGAAATTGACATCTAGCCTTGAATTTTTGGTATTGATCTAATGCAGATTGTTGAAGATTTACTGCATGACTCTGGGTTTAAAGCATCCACATCCGAAAGATTCATTCTGGGGTTGATTTTGATCTTGGATATGACTTTGAATTGGCTTTGGACTGTCACCAGCACTGGCTTGGGGAGAAGTTGTTTCAAACATCTGCAGCTCAACCATTTCCTTGCCTTCACATATTATCTTGACCTCACAGAATTCAGGTGCATTTAGTAATATCTCATCCGCTGTTCCGCCACCTTTTTTCGACTTTAGTTTCCTTAAAACCCATCAAAAAGAAATAGTTAAGAACAGTGTCGTAGCCAGGAATCTCGACAAGGGAGTTCAAACTCTAAAGAAATTAATTTTTTCGATGAAGGGGTGCACCAAATTTGTTAAATCTAAACAATAAAAACACTTGTACTAGAACTATAAAACTATAGTATTTTCACAAAATTAAAGTTTTAAGAGCTTTATATTGAGAAGTTTTTTAGAGTGAAAAAGAGTCCAATAGATCACATATTGTGGTCTCCGTTTAATGAAAACGTTTAGAATAGGGACTTGAACCCATGAAAAGCACCTCTCTTTGAACACCCTAGACCACTAGACTACCCCACTCAACTATGTTGAATGCATGCAAGATGTAATATATATACTCATATAAAGTAGTATTTAAACTATATACAGCAATATAATTTTTCAACGAACAGTGTTCGCTTGACCACCCTTGAGATAGTGTGACTACGTCACTGCTTAAGTGGGAAGTGAATTAAGATTAACAAGATTCAGAAATGAGGATATATATATAGCTAGGAGGGGACAATGCATTCTAAAATTTAAGTGAATTTCATACTTGAGATTGGCTTTAGAGGTGCCCAAGATCAGCCTTCTTATGTTGCAGATAGGAATAAGGTCCAGTATTGCTTTTCCTTCTGTATCGCTCTCTATAAGTATGGTGTCAACTTTAACCTGTTGTGAATATTGCTTTTTACATGGTTAGCCTCAAGCCTTACATCTATGTTGCGTGGACTCTACAAAATATTGCCGCCTCGTGTTGGATTCTCCAAAAATGCGCTACTTTTGGAGGATCCGACATGCACCCGACAACATCTTCGGAGAGTCTAAGCGACATAGCCTTACATAGCCTCATGCTATCTTTGTTTATCAAAATAATGTGTACCTTTGTAGCAGCACATGCATCAAAAAACTTTTGAAGGAACTGCCTCCTCTTGCCTCTTTCTTGAGCCATGTGGTTCTCCTTCTGCTCAGCACTCACTTGGCTTATTGGAATCATTCCCACTGGTGTAATCATCACAAGTAACAATTTGTCAATGTTGAAGTCTCACCTAGATTACAACAAACTAATCCAATCCAAAATCAGATGTCTGCTCTCCAGCATGAAATGAAAGGAGATTCTGGACTAAGAAGAGCTTTTTTTTACTTTCGGGCACAATTGTCACAAAATCCGCAGGCCTTAGAGCCATGATAACTGGCAGCCCAGTGCATAAATCATCCTGCATGTACTGCGTCCGGGGAAGGGGCCCATCTAGAGGCGGACTCAAGATTTGGATGTCGGGGGTACCATGACATTCAATATTAAATTTATCACTACTCATAAAGATTGTTACGGGGGTCTATGCTAATATTTGACTATTGTATGAAGATATTTGCAAGCATACATGGAGTTTTAGTGGAAATTTTCGGGTGCCAGTGGCCCCTCAACTTATAGTTTGCGATTGCTTCTAGCTGCATCCCTAAGGGTGTAATGTAGACAGTCTAACCTAATGCAGGCATTAGTATCTTGAGTCATGATCTGTGCCAAAATTCTTGCCGGCGGTGCTGTATCATGTGCTCGATTGAGCAAGTGAGTTCATAGGCAGTAACTCATTCCATCAGTTCCTCGGGTTCAATTATGATTTCATTGACAGAATATCAATTTTTAACTAAGCAAAATCATCATTACAAACTTGGCTTTTGCATCAAATATATCAATCTAACAATCGTATAACCATTCCAACCTCAGTTGTTGACTTTACAAGTCAACCCAATGAACATATACAATAGGTAGAGATAGACAAGATAACACAATAACAACAACAATAAACCCAGTGTAATTCCACGAGTAGGGCCTGGGGAGTGTAGTGTTTACGCAGACCTTACCCCTACCTATAAAAAGGCAGAGAAGTTATTTCCGGTAGACCTTCGGTACGGGAACAACAACAAACCCAGTGTAATCCCACAAATGGGGTCTGGGGAGGGTAGTATATACGCAGACCTTACCCCACCTTCAAGAAGGCTGAGAGACTGTTTCCGAAAGACCCTCGGTACAGGAAAGATATGAAAACTAAAGAGAGAAAATGAAGGAGAGGGAGAGAGAGCTTACAAGGAGAAGGGATGTATTTGGTCTGAGGATAGATATGAATGAGGAAAAGAATGGTAGAAGAGGGATCAGCCACAACATGTTTAAGAGTCCAAAGAAGAGCATCCATACTTGACTCTTTGCTAATCTTGTTGTTATCTCCAACAGCAACATAAACAACAGTATGATCAACATAGTTGTGGAAATCAAAGGAATATAAGCTACCTTCTACTTCACCTTCTTTAATGGAGGCTAACCCTCCTCTGTGTTCATTAATCTCCAACAACTCAGTTGCCACAACATAACCACCATTTATATTATCATCTTCTATTTCTTCAATCTCATTCCCTAAACTACTGTTGCTGCTGCTGCTTCCTGGTATATCATAACTCCCATTAATGTTTCTGTTGATGCTGTTGTTGGCAGTGATCATCTTTGTATTTTGTCTTTGAGTTTATTGTATCTTAACTCTAGTAAGGTAGAGGGTTGAAATTTTTCTTATTGATAGAAGAGAGAATCAATAGAGTCGAACCACATAACAACTCACAGTTCGATTTGATACTTGGAAAAGCCACATTACTTGTTTTAAGTAATGTGAAAATTGATTCAGTTCCTCCGGGTGTTAACTAAGCATTCAACCAAGTACATCATTTATTCCCTTTAAAGCATGAGTGCCGGCAAATAATATTAGATCAATTCTAGTAAATATATACATAAAATACCTAGTTTGGCGGAGAGACTATGGGTTCACGTGCCCTATAAAATAGGCTATAAATCCGCCCCTGGAGGATAGGCTTGGAGCAAGGGTAAAGTTATATCCGTGTGACCTATAGGTCATGTTTTCGAGCCATGAAATCAGTCACTATGATTCATTAGGGTATACATTGCCTGCGTCACACTCTTGGGGTGCGGTCCTTCCCGGCTCCTACATGAATACGGGATGCTTCGTGCACTAGGCAGCCCTTTAATCTCGCCTACGGTATAAACATATTGTAATTTCACACACTTTGGCTCCTTTTCGGACATCTCAATGTACCAGCCTAGCCAGCCACTTTGACTTTTCCATCTGCGTCGGTTTCATTAATTCATTATGGTCCACCGATTAGTTTTTTCATTCTCTATATTCTAGTCCAAGACAAGAAAGGAGAGGTACGTGATAAATTAAACAATTCTTGTAAAAGAAAAAAAGTTAAACAACTCTTGCAAACGGTCATATGCAGTTTGTTGGGCTTTGCTAATTTTTTTATTTGTTTCTACTACATTATTTCCTGGCAATAATGGAAATTGGCTTTTGATTCATACATTAACACATGTACAATGATGCATAACGTCGTGAGGATAGTCAGAGGCAGACCCATAATTTTAACGCAATAGGGGCACCAATATTCTGCTTAACCAGTACCCTCTAAATACTTTTAGTGTTCAAATATCAAATTATTTAAATTAACCATTTTTAAGAAATACGCATATAAATATACAAGATTTCTATCGGGGTTTACGGGGTTCGGTAACCCCTCAATATCAGGGGCGGATTTATAGGCAAGATTATGAGGCACCTGAACCCATGCTTTCTCCGCAAAAGTAGATATTTTATGTATATATTTTCTAAAATTGGTATAATATTAACTGACGACACCCATGCTCCAAGAAGATTGAATGATGCAATTGATTAAATATTGAGTTATTTACCAAGAATAATAGGGATCAATTCTCACTTAATATATTTTTTTCTCCCTATATACTAAAAATCGTAAATCCGCTTCGGCTCACTGTTATACATAAGTTCGCCTCTATATGAAATATATATTAAAAGATAGTTTAATGTCGGAAGGTCGTTGTATGGGAGGAGAATATGCGAATACGTGAGAGTATCTCGGCGCCCATCGAGCGACGTAGTCCAAGTCTAAGGTCAAATATTTGAGTACAAGAAAAGTGATCCTATAAAATAATCCTATATATAAACATTTCTGAATTTTATTCACATATCTTTTCTATTAATTTCTTTATTGCTATCTCTGAAAAGTATAGCATAACTAAAACGCCGTTTAAAATAGCTAAAAAAATCAAATCTCCCCAATTTCTCCCACACAAGTCACAATTAGTATTAAATGTAAAATAAGAAGTCTGCCACTTCAATAACGCTTGAACTAACTTTTAACTTTTTTCCTTTTCACATTTCCTTCTTTGATTTTTCGTTGTCTATTTTTGACGGGGTCGTTGCAAAAATAAATAAGCAATAAATACGAGTAAGTTAAACTTATGGATTAAGAAATAGCAACTAAATATGCAAAAAATTTGAAATAGAGTTGGCAATTACTTATAAATATATCTTTATTTCTCTCTTTTATTCAACAAAGAAGTTACAAAATGCAATAGAAAGTTTAGGTTGTTTTAATTTGTTCATTTTCACTTTGGCTTATATTCCATAGACATAAGAGTTCTTCCTCTTTTACTCAAAGCTTAGTTAAGAGTTGATGGACTATTAATACTAATAAAGATGGTGTAGGAGTAATATGCATTTTAGTATTAAAATTATAATATTAAAGTGTATTACAATCAACTTACTATTGAAATAAAATTAGTTTCTTGCTATCAAGGAAAATCAGTGTTACTAATCATCTTTAAGTTTTCATGAAATTGGGAGTTTCTGCACACGAGTTCATTCCAGCTGACATTGTCATTGAATCTCTGTTTACAATTGTTGTTACTACTTAAAAAGGGTGATGACAATGATTTCTAAGGTAATGTGAAGGGATGTAAAGAAAATTTCCTTTTCATTGAATGAATTTTGTATTTGTACAGTGTCCCGTTATATACAACAAAGAGAAGAATCTCTATAACTAATTTTCTCCACGTGTTCTTCTCTTATTCAGCTAAGCCTAACAAACTAATGAAAGAATAATAAATGAAAAATATATTTATAATATTATTATCCAGCTAATCTGGTCTAGAAGGTTGTGGTTTCTTCTTATTGTGGAAAACATCTGTACTCAAATTAACACGTGTAGGTCCCAGATGAAATCCCTTATTTTGTGATGGAGGGCTCTGATTGATTTGTGCATCCATACGTGTGTGATGTCGCCCAAGTTCACGCCTCAAATTGGGGTTATGAAGCGGACGATGCAATTATAATTCCCTAACTAGGAGTCGGGATCGATTCGTCATGGAACGTAGATGGGATTAGGTATATACTCGGACTAAGCGTATAATGTGTCCAAAATGCACTTTCACATGCTTTGTTGTTTTTGTCTACTTCAAAATTAAGCTATTGTTTGCAAATATAAAACTAGAGAATGATATTTTTGGTGTTGTTTTTCAAGTTGTAAAAGATCTAGGGTTGTGACTTCCACCTAGGTGGTTGCCTAGCAGGTTGTGGGCTTTAGAGCGAGTTTCGTTGGTCGGGGCGTAATATAGCAATCAACACACAATTACCCACTCAATACCTCTCGGTAATAGATTAATTTTGCCCAATTTGGCTTTCTCAAGCCCAAATGGGTAATTCACAAATTAGTTGATAGATGCCCCAGTCGGGTTTTACTTCTCTAGATTCAACCATTTAGTTGGGACTATCAATTTCTTGAGTTCACCCCAAATTCTTGTTAGCCAAGTTTTCCTAGACTCGATCTCTCTTTCTCAAGTAGAGACTAAGTCAAGTAGGCATGAATCAATGTTTACAACCATTAATTCTTAAATTAAAGCAAGAACTAGGCTAAATATCACACACCCAACCTTAAACAAGCCCTAAATCAAACACCCATTAGGTACCCATACTAGGGTTGGGTCACAACCCTAGCTAGAAATTTAGCTACTCATAGATAAAAATAAAGAAATTAAAGAGGAAATGATAATTAAACTCATATTGCAAAATTAAAAGACAAAAATCTAATATTTAATCACTAATGTAAGCTAAAG